GAGGATGTACTAATTTCGCAGCTCAAAAATACGAGAGGATGGCGCCACCCGCTTGTGAAGAGGATGCCGCCCCGCCCACCTGGCTGCCATAACTGCTTTGGCTTAGCCTTCAAAGGCTGAGCCCGCTTTCAAGAATAATGAGTTATGGAGCTCATATAACATGTGATCCAGTAGTGAAGAAAAGAGCAGAAAAAAATTATGGAAAGTGGATTATCGAAATCGAGGGCGCGGGAACATCAAACGAACGTGGGCGCTGTCTTTAATCTTTACAGCCATATTTTTTAACAAATAGCTAACTCCGGGGAACTGAGGGCTGTTGGCTCAGAGCAGAGGCGATCCGTCATTTGATCCTCCGAGTGTATCCAGTGATGAGCAGTTCAAGTGGAAGAAAATGGCAAATTCCATTGTGAATCATATCTGATCACGGTATTTTCGAAAAAAAATCATGTAAGATTGCTCGTTCAGGTGATGTGGACCGATAAAGAAATAAATCGGAATATGGTGTTCCGACTGATGACTCAGATAAATATTATCGACTGTGCTCAACTCATATGCCACTTTCTCAGCGGATTTTTTCCGATTTATCCAGAAATCATCCATCGCTCGCGGTTTTTTTCTAGTGTGGGTTTCTAAGTTCTTTGTATCACAGAATCGTGAAAATTATTACTCTTTCTTGCTTGAGAGGTTCACTGGATTTGGACGGAAGCACAGTAAATGGGCCTGATGAATCCGAGACCGCTGCCACCGGCTGGGGCGACAACCAAAAAAGTTAAAAAGCAAAAATAGTTCACTGGACGCATTATGGAGCCCTCCCATGGGTATCTATATCGGTCTCCCCGAAATTTTTGTACTTACCTTGTAATCCCGCAACAAACATGCAGTCAGATAGTAAACAGCTAGAAGCAAGAGAGCGCAGAAAAGTAGCTCGTCTGGCTATAGCTGGGTGTGTGGCTGGCTGTGCGGCAGCGCGGGTGGAGTACAGAAACGGCAGCAGAGTATTACAGTCCTCATCATTGCGGACTGTCGGAGGCGGCGTGAGCAGCGCGGTTCGAGTCCGCGTTCGGCTCCCTTGCTCTACCAATGGCGATCGGGTAGAGATCGATTTAGGAAGGAAACAACCAATGATGGAAACGCAATGAGAACCGCTGATTGCGACCCGACAATTGCGGTGATATTTAGCGTACCTACACCCACCCAGCCTCGTTGCGCATTTCGGCGGAGGTACTGGCACGCTCAGTGGCGGACCCATTCACCTCGCGTGTGCAACGAACAGGATCCTGAGAGCAGTATGTATGGTTTGTCACCAGAAAAATTCTCTATGAAAAAATAGCAAGCGAAACAAAATGCGCTAAATACAGTCCTCATCATTACGGACTGTCGGGGCGGCACAGCCGCGCTGCAATGTGACGCGACAGCGGCTGCGGCTCGGTGACGGCGAATCAGCTGATTTCGATGGAATTCGGCTGCGAATTCCCACTTTTTCAGCTCTTCAAGCTTCTAAAGTGGAAGGTGAGTTATTTTGAACAATTTTAAATTGTACTGACTCTGAATGAATCTGAAAGAATGTAAGCCATTTGAATAAATGCCTGAAATAAGGCAAAATACAAGGAAAAGAGCATAATAATCGACATAAAAATAAAGGAAATCAGAGCCAGTACAATTCAAAATTGTTCAGAATAACCCATCGATTGGACTGTTACACAGCAAAGGATGGCCTTTCTATAGATACCACTTGCTTGACTGCTACTTCTTCTTAGAGTGCAATATGGACAAGACCGGTATCCGCTGCCGACAGCACCGACCCCTCCGAGCACTTCTCTTACTTCTACCACCCTACATTAACATGACAGCTGCCGATGCTAAAAAATGCAGGCTGCATAAGTACGTCGCCCTTGATTATCAGACAAGCTTCCTTGACTCTAGTATTCGATAGTGAGAGCCTACAATTTCGATGAAGAAGTGAGGTGAGGTTGCAGGTTACAGTGAGGTTACATGCGAACTCAGCTCGAGGAATTCGGTGGTCGTGAAACTGCTGGATGAAGAAGCTGCTTCCTCGGTCAATGCGTACGCAAAGCAGCTACGAGATCTGAAGCGAATCGTCGATCAGAAAGATGTGCAGGCAGTTGGCCTTCAACATGATAGTGCAGCCCACTCCGTCAAAAAAAGTCGATCCGAACTACTCGAAAAAGCTGGACGGCTCTCCTTTTGCAACGGTGTAGTCCAGACATTACTCTTTCTGACTGCTAGGTGACTCCCGTACATAACCAATATATGGACGAAAACCTCCACGATCCGAGCTTAAGTCAAAATTGAGAAGATGTCCAACTTTGCGCCGCGGGCCTGCACTGTGAAGCGATATCATCCATGAGGTGCTCAAAAACTATCAAGAACCCCGCAAGAGTACTGCTGTCTAATTTTGATCCTGTACGCATTGTGAAAAAAGAAAGTCTAATCTGATAAAATATGGCAGGACTTCTCCACCAACACTGTACATATTACCTCAGTAATTGGCTTATACTACTCTAGCATTTTCATGTACAATCAGTGGACTCCTGGAATGCCATGCAAGCTGAGCCAGTCGCCGCAACTTGACCCTCCCAACAGGCATCTGACGGACATATCAAAAGCGAGACATGAAAACGCTTTGTTCACTCGGGAGCGAGAAAATGGTACCGAGTGAAGCTTCCACACGTCATTTTGTCGAGAACCACCACCACCTCCAGCTTCGTGAAGAATAGCTGGTCTGTCATCATAATGAAATCTGTCAATTGAAATGAACTAGCGAAAGCAGCTAGCGAAACTGCGAATTACCTCTCCCCCCCTAGGCAGAGCAGAAGTTGGTATGCTCTTCGAGATTGCGGAAACTGCTGCTATTGGCATGAAACTGATTCTACCTAGTACGGGCTAACCTACCCAATCGCGGAATGTACTTTTAATAATAATGGAATTATAATGTGGACAACAGTTCTTTTCTTCCGTTTTCTCCTCTGCGGGTAACATAAACCCTGACGTAAGCTCCGAAAGTCGTGTATCTCTTGATACTATCAGGGAGTGTGTGGTAACAAATGAAGACGTTTACAAAATACTAAGATCGTTCAAGTGCTCCACCTCGGTTCCTTTCGATGGTATTCCACAAATTGTTTATAAAAACTGTGCCCTTTCCTTATGCAAACCTATTTGTATGATACTCAATGTATCTCTCATGTTCTGTGAGATCCCGATGAGCTGGAAAGAATCTATCGTGACTGCCATCCCTAAGGTACCTGAGCCTAAGCATGTCTCTTCGTTTCGTCCTATAAGCATAACGGCACCCCCCGCTAAAGCTCTAGAGACGATTTTGCGTGACAAAATTGTATCCCATTTGATGAAGAACAATCTGGTTCCCGCAGAGCAACATGGGTTTATTAGTGGTGCTTCCACAGGTACCCTTATGGCAGACTGTCTGTTTGATTGGAATTTAGCTATTAACAAGGGGAAGGGTGTGGACGTTATTTATTTCGACTTGTCCAAAGCGTTCGATAAAGTAAATCATGAAAAGCTCCAATACAAATTGTGGGCGAAATTGGGTATCGAAGGCCCTCCTTAGTGGTTAGCTGTTAGTCTGAGGGACCATGTGTGGTCAATTGTGAATAGGTGTTACTTTTCACAGGTTTCCCAATAGCAAATAAGAATGAGAAAATTCCACAAGAAGTAAGGTGTATGTCTACTCTGTGTTTGATGCTAAGTGGTGTTGTGTGGCATGTAATACACCCTTGTGTCAGCGTTAATGTACGACGATGAATTCAAATATAGTGTCGTATGACAATTTACATGACTGCTTTACCGAGCATAATTACAACACTCTGTAAAAATGTAAACAATAGTAGGGCAGAGATATGTAACTGACATATGGGGAATAAAATATTCACCACGTTATTTATAGAACTTCCGTAATTCCATGCGAAAAAAGCAATACGAATTGCACCGTGAATAACACATGTAACGCAAGAGAATACTAAATAAAGGGATGTGGATTCGAGAGAGTTCCATCGGTTGGGAAATGACTCGTGCAATTCACTTTTGAAGATATTCTCGCCTCACATTAGATTACTTTGTCTTGACAAAGCTCTCAGTGACTTCTTTTGCTCTCTGAGAAAGATATTCAGACAAGTAACGATTGTCATTCTTAACTGAGCTTTACAAAAAGCAATGCGCCATAAAATTCTCGTACGGTGTAACGCAAATATGGAAGAGAATATACATAAAGAAGACTCGGAATAAAAAGAAAAAATCAGAAAAGGAATGCGAGCAATTTTACGAAGAGTTTATGGATGTATCGTAATGTTTTACAAACAGTCACAGTAATTCGATGTATTGCCAGGGCTTCAGAAGAGCGAAACGCCATTTTCACCTTCATACTGGTGCTTAGAAGAAGGTGATTCAGTGATCTTTGTCTTGTTTCAAGATATAAAGGAGGCACTAGGTTGAACCCAGTAAATACTGGAGTGTTGAGACGACGAATGTCGCACCTCGTTGTCCTTACAATGGTTCCTAAACTGTTGCAAGGCCACGGACGAGTTTGCAATCATGTTTTTGCGTGGTGAGCGAGGTATTCATTTTCCATCGACTGCTGGGGCGCTAACCCCACCTTCGCGGAAGAGATAAGATGGTCTCTTGCGGTGGCGCTTGTAAGCTATTCAGGTTCTGATCAGTAGTTTAGTGAAGTCTTTCCTCGGTTGTTTGTGTTACCGAATTTTGTTTTTTTTATGGTAATCGTATTTTTGGTTGTTCTATGACTCTAAGCCTATCGCTTGCACTGCTTAGCGCACCTATGCGTGCATGATAAATAAATAAATAAATAAATAAACAGGCTGTGCAATACCGCTGGCTGGATTGGAATCTTGGACCTACTCCACTGAGCATAACAGTGTTGTTTTTAGTTCGTTGGTTCGACAGTGAATAGCTTATGGCAGGCGATGTTCCCTTATTTGTGTGTATTGTCCATCATGCGAGTTTTAGTTATGAAGAAGAGAATGTCGCCGGATGAAAAACTCATACTTCCTCTGAAGGTGAGGCAATCATATTCAGATTACAGGAACAGATCATGTCGAGTGATTTCTACAATTCGCTCCCTTCGTGAACTCTCATGGGAAGAAGCGGAATCTTTCTTCTCTTCCATTTTTCACTTTTCAGTTAGTCCTCGCGTTCGGGTGGGCATTTACGACGTTTGTTTGGCTATGGTCATGGCTTGGTATGGCTTTTGTTTTCGGAACCATCGGATGGGAGTACGATTTTGCACAGTGGAGCTCCATCTACCTGAAGGTATGGTGGGGTGCTGGCGCGACAGAATGTAGATCGCCACACTTCCAGATTGTTGTGAGTCTTGTGCTATGGGTTCAAAATTCAACATATTCTCGTTCAGATTATTGAAATCGCATGGTGCTGGCCAGCTATAGCTGTATGTTATTTTTTACATCTCGGTATCATTGTAATAGTTATGGTAAGTTTATGGCGTTCACGAGTTTATCGTAGCCAACAGAACGTATCTGACTCGGCAATCAGTCATTTCTGCACAAAGTTCTCTCGGCTTTCCACTTTGCAGTAGCTAAGCACGAACTCCAAAGACTGACTTGTCGAACTAAAGCTAGTCTTGCATGGGACGAACGGAGCTTCCCGCACAGAAATGTCGAAGGACATGGCACCATCCAGGAAGTGTAACAACATGGCCGCTCTTTCAAAAACAAAACCTGAAAATTTGTCAAAAGGGGTTCCTTGACACCATTCGACACTGATTTCCAGCACAGGAGCCATCTGACGTGCCGACCAACTTAGGTCACGACTTTTTACCCAATTCCCGCAAAGGTTCATACATTTGCGGGTCGGTAGTTGCGAGAGTTATTCACAAACCCTAGTCTCGCTTTAAAATCAGTTGCTAATCATGACCAGAATCACCGACCACCTGTAAATGCAAGATTGAGCGGGGGTGAGGTGGTAGGCGCCAGTTCCTTCAACACCGTCTAATTGTAAAGGCCAGATCTTGGGCCGGCTCACACCCTATTCTTAAAGCCTCCTTGGGCGCAGTTTATCGACGGGGGGCATTTTGCTTTCCATAGATGTGTCGACCCATCTAGGTAGCGTTTTCTTGAGTTGACACGTTTTGGGATGGTGGCTAGACGATCTTGCTCCAGCTTCACAAGAGTTCACAAGTTTTACCAAAGTGAGATTTGCAAACCGGAACCAGGGAAGCAATGTAGTACAAAATGCCCCCCGTCGCTAAACAGCGCCGCCTCCTTGTTCATAAGCCTAGGACGTACTTGAAATTTAGATCCTCGTCATTCACCCCCACCAATTGTTTTACCATAACTATGAATGGCCCTTGGTTGCTCCAAGATTTCGACCCACCGTTGTGTTAAGCCTTTCATTCTGTGAAGCATTTACGTTCTTCCACACAAAATGCTCCCATGAAGTCACAAAAGAACCAAGATCATATCTGTGTCATTTCAGGGCAGCAGGCAGCTCAATGGGTCGAAGTCGCGCAGAGAAGAAAAACTTATCTTTTTTCAAGCGACTGTTCTGAATGGATGGATGCTTGGGCTGATGGTGGCTTGGCACGGCTCAGGTGATTTTTAACAGAGAATGACCATCTCACACGTTTTTTCAATGAATGCGGGAAGATTGTGCATCCGGTGTCTTATTTTTGGAACTAAGAAAGTGCTCATTTTATTATTCTGTGGTATTCTTCCCTCACTATCAGATAGCAAGACGATGTGTTAGCCGCCGTTTTTATGTTCCCTGTGTCCAAGAGTGGAGCCATGATTTTGCTGACATTGGGTTCGAACAAGCAAGGTTATCCGCACCTCTGTTTTTTTCCAGCTCAATAGCCATCGGAACGTGACGCCATGGAGACGGCAAGTCCATATGGCACCAGCCCTCTCTCCACCAATTGTTGAAGCACACAAGTGAAAACGAATGGGGGGGGGGAACAGGCTGGCGGTGCTCCGAACCCGGATCCGCTCCATCACAGAGATAGAAACACAAGAGAGAGAAATAGAGCTAGAGACAATAGAATCGTAATTCGCGCACTGATGGGGGTGCGTGCGACGTCGCGCCCATAAATGGCGATGGTTCCAGGTCATAGATGGCGACAACAGACAATGTAGAACGGAAAATAGTCATAAATGTCTACAGTTTCGTAGACCACGTGGAATCCGGTCCTCCAATCAATGGGCTAATACGAGTTGAGAAAACGCCGCACCTATCGCCGCCCGGGGAGCGGCAAATTACGATTTTCTTGCCCATTGCCCATCTCCCCCAGCACAGCATCAAAACAGAAATTCAAACTAATCTGAGCAGATGACACTAGCGGAGTCCAAGAAATGGTTATTGAGAGGGAAACTTATGTGGGTGACAAAATTCTCTTATTCTCAGGACTACTGGGACTCACCGAAAATTATCACCAATGCATAATCAACTGCGTGTGGATTCTCTTCTCCTGGCTCAATCC